AAATTGAGATTTTTATTGCATTTTAGTTTTTGATATTATTAGATTAAAATGTATTAAGCTCTTAATTTAAGTCAAAAATTTCTCGGAACCTGATTTTCCTAGAAACCCTCCCATATAAGGCAAACACGAAAAATACGCGATAATCATGTGGATGTCACGGAAAATCATCCGGTTGTGCAACAATAGACCAATTTCATAGCTGGTCTATCGAAAAGAAAATATATTTGGCGTAGATAAAGAAACTCTAACCGTACAATTTCCCCGACTTGTAAATCCTTTGGGGGGTTGCTTCCTTTGGTGTTGTTTACGAAATTGTATAAGTAGCTTTCAAGATTTTTCAAAAGATATAATAAGGTTCTGGCTTTCATAACCAGCATTTACCCGGCCTGTAAATCCTTTGGGGGGTTGCTTTCTCTGGTGTTGTCAACTAAATGGATGCATCATGATTGATGTAGCGACCTTATCGTATCTGGAGAACTAATCTTGTAAGCTTCTAGTTGCTATCTTAATTCTTAGTTTGTTTTTTTCATAAACATTTGATGCGATAAAATCAAAGCTTCTGAACGTGATTCTACCACTCTAACTCCTGAATCAATCACTTACGACACTAAGAGTATGAAAAATGAAATTCCATCGCTCATTTCAGAAAAAAATTTTTCGATGCAAATGCCCGATATGGGCGAAACTTTATTAATAATTTTCAGATGGAGGTAGCAAATGAAATGTATGATGCTATCGAAGAGGGAGGGAGTACGCGGATCCTAGGCCATTTAATGCGATTCCCAGCATCAAGTTATTTCTTTGCTCTCACATTTTCGGAGAATATTGTATCTATACGCCTATCTATTTTTCTAACTACAAGATTCTCACCCCCATAATCTCTCTACACTAGAATTCCGAAATAAATTATACCAACTTATATCTACAGAATTTTCGTCTAACTATATCACTCCCACTCACACAGATTATGTAATAAATTATTTCCTGCAAAAGAATTTCCCCGAGATGAAATAATTTCGAACCTGTATGAAGAATTCTGAGATTAGCAACGGGGTAAAAGAAATAAAACAAGTTGAGGCTTCCGATTCACACTTACTGCTATACTTCATTTTCACAACATTCCATTCCGCCTCAGATATTGTTGATGTTAATAGTGGTAAGTTTGAATATTTCTTTTGATTTCTATTTGCTTTACTTGCACAAGGCGGATAAAGGGATTCGCTAAATAAGGCCTCACCTTTTTATATGATTTGTAGTGGGTTTAAGGATCGATTTTTGGAATAAATCTTGGGTGAAATTACGTTATTATGATTCATCACGAAAATCAGATCAACGGAAACTCCTAATAGACACTGGGATCATGTCCTCAACAAGGGGAATTAATCCGTGCAAATCATTAACGTTGATTCAAAGATTCGTATATGCGTGTGTTATGCCAGAACTTTCGGGAAAAAAACTTATTAATAGTGACTCTGCCTCTAAAAATAAACATATGTGACGTCTTACTATGTATAATGTATTTACTGCGGTTATTTAATTTTTATCATACTTATTCATCATAATAAAATAACGGAAAATTCCCGAGAAATTCTACATACATAACGATTTAAGAAATACATATTAATACTGTTATAATATCGGTAAGGGCTAGCGCAATAAATCCATCCATCGGGGCATATAATGAAAGCAAGAAGTATTTTTCTTAACGTAATCCAGAAACGCAACAAGAATCTACAGAGTTTTTTTGCAAGTGTTTCCATATGTAATTTAAACAATAATGAATATGTCTTTTATTACGTTTAAACCCGTCATACAATATTACAATTTCTCTTTGAGTATTCTCTTACATGCAAATATACTCCCATATAAGTTACAACAAAAATAGTTGCGATACCAACATATATGTTTCCTACAAAGCGAAAAAATATTGGTACGATAAAAGATGAAAAAATAATGAAACAAATTCGATGAAAATTCATTGAAGGTGGCTCGTAATTAATCTTTGGTAAGAGAGCTTGATCCTCTATCAGAATAGAATGGTAAAATGAGATATAGAATATGAATCTATTTGGTATAAATTAAGCAAACTTTTTATATACCATTAAACTCGGTTCTTGTACCATCAGGTGTAATAAGCGTTTGCACTTGTTCGATACCAAAATTACGTTGAGCATTCACATTTCTTTGTAGAACCCGGCCTACTGAATATCGAGACAAACAGTGAGAATAGGTTTTTTTTATTTACAAGTTAAGGCACTTTATTACACAAACTTTCTGGGGGGTCGTCAGTACCAGAGTGGTATATGAGGATGTGAATAGGGCTTTTTTCACCATCTTGAGGATAAGGAGGTTTTTTTCTGAGACTGTCCATATACAAAGTGGGAAAGTAATAAAAAATTTCTATTTGCGAATAAGTTGATTCCCCTTGAGCATTTACAAAACTTGATTCCATAAATTCTCCTTGACCTTTTTCATTGTCATTCACAGAAGTGACTACATGTTCGTTAGGTTGATAAAAAGTAACTTTATATAGATTGAAGTTTCATTGATGTAAGTCTTGCCGGACATTTCTAATCTCATCTTTCAGATTCTTAACAGTTCGATTGTTGTTAATATTTATGACAAAAATATTATCGACAGTACCACCACGAACAAAGCAGTTGAGGTTGATATCACTAGTTTCATTAGCAGTGAAAACCATCTTAAGCAGGGGCGTAGTAAGAAGTTTTCGCTCCTATAAATAGTAAAATTTCATAATTTTGGCGTAATACATAACTTGAAATTTTGCGAGAATGTTAGTTTGAATTCTACGAATTACACAGGTTTTTATGGCTAAAGCTGAGGTTCAATCTAAGTTCTAAACTTACGGTTCTAGGGGTAAGAAGCCAGAAGATGAAAGCATAAAAATACAGAAATTTTCAGTGCTTATCCCTTTGTAGATCTCGGATATTGTAAAGTTTCCATACTCCTATAACATATGAATTTTATTACCGTTAAATATCAACAAGCTTTTTCCATTCAGGTTCCAGTTGGTGTTTCACTCCAGACTAGCTGAATTGGGATTGAGGTATAAGCCTATTCAAAAACGGTGATTAATCTATAACCGTAATTTGTATGCGCTAACGTCAGTAGGATAATAAAAATATACCATTTATCCGAGGATCTGTAAATCATTGATTCTAATCCATTTTTGAATTTCTTTTTAACGACGCCCCGTCTCATTTAATTTGTCTAAATCTTCATTTTGCTTTTTCTGCTTATTTAGTTTTTCCTCATTTTTGGCCTCAAATCGTTGAAGAACTAAAAAAAATTAGCATTTAAGTGGAAAAGTGAAACTAAAAACAAGTTCTCAGGTGGTTGTTGCCTTAATTTTTGACCCCCCGCCCCCTCTTACGATCCACAAAATGTAAATCAGGGATGTAGTTTTTTTATTAGTAATTCAGAACTGCGTAATAAGTGAGATAGAACATACCAGAACTTCTTTCGGCTTGGCGCTGGGGAAAGTCCATCAGTATGTCAACACAAAATACTGATCTTGGCTGGGGTTATTAATAGATCCTACAAATTGCGGATATCGGTGACGTACTACTGCGCTTAGCATATTCTGCAGATATTAATTCACATGAACCAGTGAGGCAGTGACGTCTTACTGCGGGACGCTAAAAGAAAATATAGATGACGTTTACATGATATCTAAGCCACCCACGTGATTCGAAAAAAGAAAGAAACTATATAAAAATCCAGTCTATGTGAATGAACGATTCTCCCAATATTACTCCTAAGCAATCACCAGAAAGATGGTAGGATTTATTACTGAATGAGGTACAGGCAGTGTGTAAAATTCATGTGCACAATGTGCACATGTGCACATTAAATTTTTATATGCACATATTACACAGCATAAAATGTGCACAAATAATTACTAAAAATAGATAAATCATATATAAAAATGGATAAATTATTTATAAAATTTTTTTTTTTTTTTTTTTTTTAAAGTGCGGTAGTTTCGCAATATCTTTATTATGAAAGTATGATAATATAAA